CCTTTTTGATAACGCGTCTAGTTAGGGTGGCTCAGGTTATCCTGATCTATCTCTATAGTTATGAACTGGACGGGGTCACCTTTTACAGCTGCTTTTTGTATTTCTGCTTCTAATTTTTTCCAGCCTATAGCCTCTACAGTGTAATTATTGGCTTTGTGCTTATAATAACAAAGAAAAAATCTCCAAAAATACAGTCTTCCCAAAGTAAGAAAAAAGAGTGATATGTTTATATTACAATTTTTTTAATGTATTTATTACTGTCTTCAAGGCTGCACTTTAAAATATGAAATTATCTAGAGCTGCTCTAAACGAAATTTTGTTTACACTCGTGTATACAAAATGACAAAAATAAACCTAAGTCTCTAAGTCATAATTAATTATTGGCTTTTATATACTTATAATAAAAGTGAAAAATCTAAAAAAAAATAAAAAATAAAAGTTTTGCACATTTTCCCAAAGAGTTGTAGTCTGAACTAGATGAGGTTATATATGTATCCTACAAGTTTGGAGGCACTACAGTGATCTGCTCATTTTATACTTATTCTAATACCGTAATAAAATAGAGGTGCCATTTGTCATTCAGGCTTTGGGAAATCCCTCAAAGAATTGTTTTCAAATCCAATTAATGTGATATAAAAGACATGAGATAAGATACAGATTAAATGAATTTGATAATAATCCACCTCTCCTTGGTGATGCTTTTGAATATTTTTCTGATTATTTTACAACTTGCAGACGGTCCCTAAGCATTTGCAGAAGAGCGAGCTCTGCATAAAGTGAGCGCGATAGGAGACACGCTTTTAGGAAACTATGGTTGTAGCTCACTGTCTGCCTTGCTGTGGTTGGGGAGAGGTGTCTGTTTTGTAGAATAAATCATCCGCCGACGAGCTAATCCGGAAAAGCCCAATCTGTGAATATATTGCCAAAAGTCTGCAGTCTCTCTCTGCAGCGAGAAAGAGGAGAGATCACTTGAGTTATATTTGCCCCCTAATAAATAAGCCAGATGCTCATTATTATATAAATATTCTTGCTTTCTACATGGTTCCAGCTCATGCAGATATTTTCATTGTACAGATCAGTTATCGTCTGATCGCTGCTCTGGTGGCTGCGCTGAAATCATCCTGGTGTTGGCGACACTGATGATGTAGACCTAGTTATATTTAATTACAAATATGATTCCCCCCCCCTGCTCTCAGGTAAAACACTCTCAAAAAGAGAGGCTTGAGCTAAAAACCAAAATTGAAGGGGGTGGATTGGTTCTCCAGCCTCATGGGGCATTTATATCTGAAAAGGGATTCATGAGTTGTAAAGTGCTGTGTGTGTGGGGGTGGTGGGGGGGTTGGGGGCGCAGGAAGCTGATGAAAATTCTCGTATCTGTGGGATTTCTCGTGTTAAAGGAAAAGTCTGGTCATATTCAAAATTCTGACTTCTGAAAAAAAAAACTTGAAAGAAACAGGCTGAAATGTGCATTGATAATTAGCTCTTAATGTTTATTGGTTAACATTAACAAGTAACAACAGATAAGTGGACCCATTATGACAGCGTAAAATACGTATATAGGAGTAAACTGGCTGATATTCCAAGCACATTGGAATAAATGTAAATGGAACATGTAAAGCAAAGACTGGTGAGGTCAAATAGTAAAATAAAACAACTGTCATCATAGCAGGCTGTACACAGAGCCCATCACGCGCTCCACAGGGTGGGGATGACAGCCCCAATGTTCTTGAAGAGGAAGGACTGCTGCAGTAAGATGGGCTGAATGGTGCAGGAGTGTGCAGCAGCCATGAGGATGAAGCCCCATCAGCACCAGGCTGCAGGTTAGTGGGGGAGCTCATGAGGCACCAGCTTGTAGTGGGAGCCACAGGATGGGCAGCGATGGACCTCACCTTCATGAAGCCAAAACCAGACCACTGCTGTGTTGTCTTCTTCACCTACAAAGAGAAGGTCAAAGGTCATTTTGTGACTCTCTTCAATGGCTTCCCACAGTGAGGTGCGTTTCTACAACATATAAACACATTTTTATATTTCTTTGTTTTCAAATAATCTCATTTTATTTATTTATTTTTTATAGTTTAATATACTGGGTAAAGAGAAACACAGGGGGCCTCTGAATGGAGAAGACAACACATAGAACAGCCCCATTCTAC